GTCAGACTACGTCATGCCAGAAAGGTCTCTTCTGTCCTTAAAATGCATGAATCTGAGAACTGGTATACAGAAGAAATTCAGTCTTTTTGAAGGTTTTATTTTCTTATTAAGAAAAACTTATGAGAAAGTAGACTTATGATTTAGAATCTAATTTAGATCTAAGTGCTGGCTCAGCTGATATCAATGGAAAAATTCCTATTTAACCTCAGGAGGGAAACATTTCTTCCTTCATTGTGGATTATATTGTGGTTTTGGAAGCATGTCTCTGAATGTTACATGCACACTACACCTCCAATGGCCCTGTCATTATGTACCACTGGGAGAGTCGGAGTGATACGGCAGTTTCTCAAAATATAGTAAATGAACCTGCTCAGCTTTGGATCTCTCTTTCCCCTCCCTCCCTATGTGTGTGTCGGTGGTGCAATATTTGTCTCTAACACTTGTAATGGAGAGTTAGTCAAATGTTGCATATATCCAGCAAAAAGTAATTTAAGAGATAGGAAGGGAAGCAGGTGTACAGAAAAAGGGAGGTGGGCACAGCATCCCATAACAGTGCACAAAAAGCACACAAAAAGCAAAACCCAACTACTGCATAACTCGAAGCTGCCTGCAGCTGTTCTCAAGAACGCGCCAGACTAGGGGGCATGGACTGTGGGCTGCCGGAGGGAGGACCAACAGCAGCACCAGTTGCAGGTTTGTGGCCCAGATCTAACGTCCAGAGTGTTGTAATATTAGTTCCCATGAACCAATGCCAAGTTTGTAGTGTGCAGCTGGTGGTACCAGGCAGCTCTGCCCGGGCTTTTGTTGGACAATCTGGACCCCTTAAGTGTTCAATTTCAGCAGAGGGGGTTTCTTTGTGTGCTGTTGAACTGTTGGCTGTAGTTCATATAGCAAATCTGGGCCATGGATCACTGTGCTGTTCTTCTCCAACGTGGTGTCTGCAGGGTATTGTGATTACCTTAGTAACAAATGACTCCTTTCCTTGCTCCTTCCAGACATATAATGGCTCTGCCCTACCTTTCCCTTACTTTCTTTTGGTCTGTCAACATAGTTACGTTCATTTACTTTTGGCATACATTTTAGCAATTTAAAGACATTTCTCCATGCTGCTCTATGCACCTCTGCTCCTTCTCATATCATTCACAGATTATAAATGGTTGGATCACTGTCATCACTTGCCAGCCCTCTTATATAACATGCCATGGTGCTGACCTGAGTTAACTCCTGGAAGGCGACTTTGTAATTGCCAGTATCCAGCGGAACTGCAGAATCACCTAGAAATTGCATACTATCTGTGGTTTATAGTATTACACTTATAAATATACTTTTCCCTGTCACATTCACAGACCTTTTAGAAGCAATCAATAGATGCCAGGAGTTCCTAAGCTGCAGCTTTGAACCGCTTGACTGGGTCTAGGAAAACATCAGATCTTGACTTTCAAATTTTCAGTGACGGAGAATTTACAACTTTGATAGCTCCATGGCCTTCCAGAATTAAAAACATACCCTTTATTTCTAATTTTGTTTTGTCTAATTCCAGCTTTTGCCTTATTATATTGTTGTTTGCTAGGCTGAATAGCCTCCTAGAATCAATAGTCTACCTCCATGGAAGTAGCTTCAGGCTGTGACCACTCTGATTTTCCCTTTGGTAAGTTAAATGGATCATGGTCTTTAAGTTTTTCATTGAGTGACGTGTTTCTCAACTTCTAACTAATCCTGTGGTTTTCCTCTGTGTTCTTCAGGTTATCATGATCCTTTTTTCAGACTGCGTTCACAGGAACCTGAAGCAGCAGTCTAATAGATACAGAAGAAGTGCCTCTACTCCATTTGATATTCCTCTCTTTAAATAAATACCCACAGATCCCAGTGCTATCACACAAGGATCATGGGTTTTGCTACTTATTCACAGTATTTCCAATGGCCTAAGGGATGGGCACACAGCAATTCTGTGCCCTATCAACAAATTATATCTACAGGAGCATCTTCTAGCCAGCATATGATAACAGAGAGGGCTGCAGCTCATTCACTTCCTTAATAATCCAACACAGTAACTTTTTCTGCATCAGTGTTTTCTAGGATTAACTACTTTACCCAGTAACCAGTTCCTTACACACTCTCTACAGTCCGTGGGGAGAAACCGGAACTTCCAGAAAAAAATTAATCCCGTCCTAGCACAGTTACCTAAAACTGATGGGATAAACTGCCCTCTGATTGCATCTAGTTTTCCCCATGAACAACAGGTGACTAGCTTACACAGGGCACTTTCAGAAGATTAAAATACGGTGAGATGATACCACCAGCACTGGGTAGCCCTGCCATTGGCTATTTCAAAACATAAGCTATGCTACTGCTCAGCTTTACATTCTACCCGGTGTCTATGTATCTGTCTCCATATAACATTAACAGCATAAATCAGCCTATTACTTCCCCAAGCTTTTTGTCATCTGAAAATGTCATGAGTAATGACTGCATTTTTCCCAAGTCATTGTTGAAAATAACAAAAAAAAGTAGCCTAAGTGGGCCTTCTTACAAAGAATCCATTTACTAAGGTTTCCCTTTTTATTAAACATTTTTAAATCTGTCATTTAATGAGTTTTGAAAACATTTAGTATGCCTGACATTCACCTCATATAAATAATATTGTATGGTACCAAGTCAAATGCCTTTTGAAAGCTGTAATTTGATGCTATTCTGTTTGTCAACTAGATTTCCAAGGTAGTGTGATAAGACTTCCCAGGCTGATTAGCATTAATTATATTTTTTTCTTTTCATTTGTATTAATTGAGTCTCATACCAACTGTTACATTATTTTATCAGAGTCTCAGTCATGCTGACAGATCTGTAATTACCTAGGTCATCACATTTATATTATAGTAATATCCTTTTATGTGGTCCATGTCTTATTGTAGGTCTTCCTACAAAAATCATCTGATGCTTTAAATTATCCCAAACCCTTACAATACATTTTAGTCAAGGCACTAGAATGTTCTCCGGCAAGTGAAGATCCAGTGAGCTGCTCATAAAATTGTCTGAGCATAATTCAAACTTATCACCTTTGGATATAGGGTTCTATGACACTTTATTATACTTTTTTTTTTTTTTAATAGTGGTCTTAGTGCTTTGGAAAGTGAATCCAGAAGCTGTAGCAACAGCCATTGAAACGCAGGGGTTTCTACAAAGGCCTACCAACGCATGTCAGTCTTGCATATTCTTTCTGTTCTATCCCTAAATCTCTCCCTACATCACATGGAAAAAGCAGGGATTTCATTGTGGTGTTGTGGAAAAGGTCAGGGTATTGACGATCTCCTTTCATCTTAAAAGAAGCCAGCACTGGCTCTCTGAGGTACCTGCATGCAGAAATGGGCTAGGTAGCTGGGATCCTATTGTCATTTTGTGCCAGCTGTTACTGCAAAGTAGACACTTTAACAAGACTGGATGAACACAAGATTCTTATTTTCAGAGCTCCCCCTGTCTTCATTGACTGTATATCCTCTACCCGACTTTCTGCTTGTACTAAAATGAGTGGAGTGGCCACCTTCCCTGTCTCCCCATTTCCTCCTTGAAACAGGCACCTAAAACATAGGCACACCTCCTCACAAGCGAAGCACCCTTGGAGCCTTTCCACTGTCTGCCAAATGGGAGCTGGATTAGGTTTGCTGTTCGTTTTGGGGAACATGAAAGGGATAAAGAAGCATGAATTATGCCTAACAGAATTGCACCCTACTGGTTCCTGAAGACACACAAGATGTTTCAGTTCCATTGTCATCCCAACGTGCTCTTGGGGGAAACGTTTCACGCAGCCGGAGGCGTAGCAGGAACCGTCCGATACTCCTGGTACAGCACTGCCTGGACATTCTTCTTCCACCAGTGAGGTGGTGTTTCACGTTGTTAAAAGGTCCAGCAGCATGTTATAGCTTGTGAGACTGTGGCTAAGACTTTACAAAATGCCTTAAGAAATAAACGGAGTAGGTAAGGTTTTATTAGAGAAATGTAATAGCCTGACTATTTTTTCTATGACTTCACTTGATTATTTTCACCGTAGGAGGGGAAAAGGGTATTAAATGAGCAGCCTGATCACAATCCTCTCACATACCTTTGGTTTAGGCCTAAACTCTTCTGGGCTGTAGTACAATCTTTTAGTAGGCGACCCGATTTAATGAGGGTCCAAGTCAGTAGGAATTAGCTGTGTTATAAAAAGTTTTGGGCAGTGCTTGGCATGACGGAAGAGCCCACACACTTCTCCCAGGGACAAGCGCGTTTTCCTAACTTCTCCCGCCAGCGTTACTCCTAGGATGTGTTTTGACTAGTTTTCGTGCTACTTTTAAGTCTCCCAGCCAGCCCTCGTGCAGTTGAGGGACTTGACTCACCGGGCTCAGTCCCGCTCCGCCGAAGACCGCGGCCACCTCCGGCCCGGCGGGGACGGCACCTC